TCGGTCGGGAAATCAAACATCATATTATGTCGAAATCGAAAAATCGAAACATTAACAAAAACCATTCATTTGGAAAATCCGAAAGTCAAAAAATCGGGAAATCCAAAAACCAAACAATAGAAAAATATAAAAACAAAAATCGAGAAAATGAAAAGTCGAAAAATCGAGAAATCGAAGTAGAAAAACCGAAAAATCGTAAAATCCAAAAGTCGGAAAGTTAAAAAATCGAAGTCGAAACATTGAAAGTCTGAAGAATCGATCGAAAAATCCAAGGCGAAAAATCGAAAATTTGAACGATGAATTATAAAATCGAAGAATCTAAAAATCGGGAAACCAAAGTAGAAAAATGTAAAATTTGAAGAATCGATCGATACATAGAAAAGTTGAAATATCGACAATCGAAGTCGAAAGACCGAAAAATGGTAAAATCCAAAAATTGAAATATCGAGAATAAGAAATCCAAAAATCGAAAAATCTGAAAATCGAGAAATGGAAAAGTCGGAAAATCCAAAAATTGAGAAATCGTAATTCGAAACATTGAAAATTTGAAGAATCGATCGAAAAATTGAAAGGTCCAAAAATCGAATATAGAGAAATATTGAAAACTAAAACAAAAATCAAGAAGACGAAAAGTCGAAAAATCGAAAAGTTGAAACATTCAAAATTTGAAGAATCGATGGAAAAAATCGACATACCGAAGTCGAAAGACCGAAAAATGGTAAAATCCAAAAAGCGAAATATCGAGAAAAAGAAATCGAAAACTGGAAAAATCTGAAAATGGAGAAATCGGAAAGTCAAAATATTGAAACTTTGAAAAATCGGTCCGGAAATCAAACATCATATTATGTCGAAATCGAAAAATCGAAAGGTCAAAAAAATCGATCATTCGAAAAATTCGAAAGTCAAAAAATCGGGAAATCCAAAAACCAAATAGAAAAATTTAAAAACAAAACTCGAGAAAACGAAAAGTCGAAAAATTGAGAAACCGAAGCAAAAAAATCGTAAAATCCAAAAAATCGTAAAAAAGTTAAAAAATCGAAGTCGTGAAAGTTTGAAGAATCGATCGAAAAGTCCAAGGCGAAAAATCGAAAATTTGAACAATCAATTATAAAATCGAAGAATCCAAAAATCGGGAAACCAAAGTAGAAAAATGTAAAATTTCAAGAATCGATCGATCAATCGAAAAGTTGAAATATCGACAATCGAACTCGAAAGACCGAAAAATGGTAAAAACCAAAAATTGAAATTTCGAGAAAAAGAAATCCAAAAATCGAAAAATCTGAAAATCGAGAAATGGAAAAGACGGAAAATCCAAAAATTGAGAAATCGGAAGTCAAAACATTGAAAATTTGAAGAATCGATCGAAAAATCGAAAGGTCCAAAAAATCAAGAAGAGAAAAGTCGAAAAATCGAAAAGTTGAAACATTGAAAATTTGAAGAATCGATGGAAAAATCAACATATCGAAGTCGAAAGATGGAGAAATCGGAAAGTCAAAATATTGAAACTTGAAAATCGGTCGGGAAATCAAACATCAGATTATGTCGAAATCGAAAAATCGAAAGGTCAAAAAAAATCGATCATTTGGAAATTCAGAAAGTCAAAAAATCGGAAAATCCAAAAACCAAACAGTAGAAAAATATAAAAACAAAAACAAAAATCGAGAAAACGAAAAGTCGAAAAATCGACAAATCGAAGTAGAAAAACCGAAAAATCGTAAAATCCAAAAGTCGGAAAGTTAAAAAATCGAAGTCGAAACTTGAAAGTTTGAAGGATCGATCGAAAAATCCAAGGCGAAAAATCGAAAATTTGAACGATCAATTATAAAATCGAAGAATCCAAAAATCGGGAAACCAAAGTAGAAACATGTAAAATTTGAAGAATCGATCGATAAATCGAAAAGTTGAAATATCGACAATCGAAGTCGAAAGAACAACAAATGTGAAAATCCAAAAATTGAAATATCCAGAAAAAGAAATCGAAAAATCGAAAACTCGAAAAATCTGAAAATCGAGAAATGGAAAAGCCGGAAAATCCAAAAATTGAGAAATCGGAAGTCAAAACATTGAAAATTTGAAGAATCGATCGAAAAATCGAATATAGAGAAATATTGAAAAACTAAAACAAAAAATCAAGAAGACGAAAAAGTTGAAACATTGAAAATTTGAAAAATCGATGGAAAAATCGACATATCGAACTCGAAAGACAGAAAAATGGTAAAATCCAAAAATCGAAATATCGAGAAATCAAAAAGTCAAAATATTGAAAATTTGAAAAATCGGTCGGGAAATCAAACATCATATTATGTCGAAATCGAAAAATCCGAAAGCCAAAAAATCGAAAAATCCAAAAACCAAACAATAGAGAAATACTAAAAAAAAACAAAAATCGAGAAATCAAAGTAGAAAAACCGAAAAATCGTAAAATCCAAAAGTCGGAAAGTTCAAAAATCAAAAAGTCGAAACATTGAAAATTTGAAGAATCGACCGAAAAATCCAAGACGAAAAATCGAAATTTGGAGAATCGATCGATAAGTCGAAAAAATTAAAATTGAAAACTCGAAAGGTCAAAAAATTGAGAAATCGGTCAAAAAATCAATCGTCGAATAATCGAGAAATCGAAAAGTCGAAATATTGAAAATTTGAAAAATCGGTCGAGAAATCAAAAATACGAAAAATCGAAAATCGAAATCACAAAGTCGAAAATTTGAAGAATCGATGGAAAAATCGACATATCGAAGTCGAAAAACCGAAAAATGGTAAAATCCAAAAATCGAAATATCGAGAAAAAGAAATCGAAAACTGGAAAAATCTGAAAATGCAGAAAAGTCGGAAAATCCAAAAATCGAGAAATCGGAAAGTCAAAATATTGAAAATTTGAAAAATCGGTCGGGAAATCAAACATCATTTTACATATGTCGAAATCGAAAAATCCGAAAGCAAAAAAATCGAAAAATCCAAAAACCAAACAATAGAGAAATACTAAAAAGAACAAAAATCGAGAAATCGAAGTAGAAAAACCGAAAAATCGTAAAATCCAAAAGTAGGAAAGTCCAAAAATCGAAAAGTCGAAACATTGACAAATTGCAGAATCGATCGAAAAATCCAAGACGAAAAATCGAAAATTGGAGAATTGGTCGATCAGTCGAAAAAATTAAAATTGAAAACTCGAAAGGTCAAAAAATTGAGAAATCGATCAAAAAAATCAGTAGTCGAATAATCGAGAAATCGAAAAGTCGAAACATTGAAAATTTGAAAAATCGGTCGAGAAATCAAAAATACGACAATCGAAAATGGAAATCGCGAAATCGAAAATTTGAAGAATCGATGGAAAAATCGACATATCGAAGTCGAAAGACCAAAAAATGGTAAAATCCAAATCTCGAAATGTCGAGAAAAAGAAATCGAAAACTGGAAAAATCTGAAAATGGAGAAATCGGAAAGTCAAAATATTGAAACTTTGAAAAATCGGTCGGGATATCAAACATCATAAAATCAAAAAATCGATCATTTGGAAAATCCGAAAGTCAAAAAATCGGGAAATCCAAAAACCAAATAGAAAAATATAAAAACAAAACTCGAGAAAACGAAAAGTCGAAAAATCGAGAAATCGAAGTAGAAAAATCGTAAAATCCAAAAGTCGGAAAGTTAAAAAATCGAAGTCGAAACATTGAAACTTGGAAGAATCCATCGAAAAATCCAAGGCGAAAAATCGAACATTTGAACGATCAATTATAAAATCGAAGAATCCAAAAATCGGTAATACAAAGTAGAAAAATGTAAAATTTGAAGAATCGATCGATAAATCGAAAAGTTGAAATATCGACAATCGAAGTCGAAAGACCGAAAAATGGTAAAATCCAAAAATTGAAATATCGAGAAAAAGAAATCCAAAAATCGAAAAATCTGAAAATCGAGAAATGGAAAAGTCGGAAAATCCAAAAATTGAGAAATCGGAAGTCGAAACATTGAAAATTTGAAGAATCGATCGAAAAATCGAAAGGTCCAAAAATCGAATATAGAGAAATATTGAAAACCAAAACAAAAATCAAGAAGACGAAAAGTCGAAGAATCGAAAAGTTGAAACATTGAAAATTTGAAGAATCGATGGAAAAAATCGACATATCGAAGTCGAAAGATCGAAAAATGGTAAAATCCAAAAATCGAAATGTCGAGAAAAAGAAATCGAAAACAGGAAAAATCCGAAAATGGAGAAATCGGAAAGTCAAAATGTTGAATCTTTGAAAAATCGGTCGGGAAATCAAACATCATATTATGTCGAAATCGAAAAATCGAAAGGTCAAAAAAATCGATCATTTGGAAAATCCGAAAGTCAAAAAATCGGAAAATCCAAAAACCAAACAATAGAGAAGTATTGAAAACTAAAACAAAAATCGAGAAGGTGAAAAGTTGAAGTCACAAAATCGAAAATTTGTAGCTTCGATCGAAGGCGAAAAATCGAAAATTCAAAAAATCCAAAAATCGAGAAAACGAAAAGTTGAAAATCGAAAGTTTGAACAATCAGTCAAAAAATCGAAGAATCCAGAAGTCGAGAAATCGAAGTAGAAAAATGTAAAATTTGAAGAATCCGTCGATAAATCGGAAAGTTGAAAAATCCAAAAACCGAACACTCGAAGTCGGAAAATCCAAAAATCGAGAAACGGAAAATTAGGAAAATCCAAAAAATGTGAAATTGAAATGTCGAAGCATTGAAAATTGCGAAAGAATGGCAATTTCAACATGTCACCTCAAGTCATTATGCAAAATCGAATGGCATGGTTGAAAGGGCTATTCAGACTGTAAAAAATATTATAAAAAAATGTTACGAGACAAACACTGATTTAAATCTTGCTTTGTTAGATGATAGGAATACACCTATTAACAATTGTATTTTATCACGTTCTGAATTATTGTTTAATAGAAAAACTAGAACTTTAATACCTCCACGTAACACAGCAGCTTAATTTAGTACATCACAAATATCACTTATATAAAAAAAATACCTTATGCAGAAGCGACGTCGAACCAATCCCAGACAACTGTTCCGTCATATTAACCAATTTATCGCAACTGCGGTACCCATAATTAGCTCGCCTCAGATACCCCTTGGGCAGTTGCAACAAATTGTTAATAACGTCCATCAGCACTCCCCCAATCTGATTAACAGTGAGATACTTCAAATAATTCTCCATCGTTTCAACGGCAAAAACCACATCCATGACATCCCTAAAGTGCGCCGGCGTGGACGTATAATTCCTAAAATGTTTGGCACTTTCCGCGATACTCGAATTCACCTTCGAAAACTGCTCGAAAATCTTCGTCGTTTCGGACGTATACGAACACATCGACGTGTTCAAATTCTCCCACTGACCCTCCTCTGAACAAAAAAAGGACGCCTTCTGCACCGTCACGTCGTAGTTTAAATTCACGGATTGGCACGGCACGGTTGCCGTGTAGTTAACGACGGTCCTAGGCCACGTGTACGAGCCTTTATTGTCAGTTGTGACCGTGATGGGGCAGTACTCCGTGTCGTCCGAGATAACCACAACCATGATTCCTTTGGAATAGTTTCCTTGTACCGACACAAGCAAACAATTCCAGATTCCTGTGTGGTTTCTCGTGAGTTTCGATATTCGTAGAGTGCTAGCCACCAATCCGGTGCTTTGTAGAAACTGATCTTGGATGGCAATGTCCGCGAAGTACATTTTGGGGTCAGCGTCTAGCCATATCCACTCGATTTTTGACCGCATTGGAGAATCGTAGGAGTCGGAGATACTGGGGGCCGTGCATTGGAGGGTCAGCGAGTCGCCTGCAAAAACCACTTGATTGACCTGAGGTTTCATCTCGATTATGGGGAAGCCGTTGTTTAAGGCCGGAGATTTGCAGTGGATGTCAACTCCGACTTTTAGTTTGCGGAGCAAAAGGCCTTTGAATGATGGAGGGGTGTTGCAGGTGGGGTTCGAGACGAGTTTGACGGATTTTTTCTGACTCCAACCTAGTAGCCATAGTAGGCTGCAGTCACATGTGAGAGGGTTGATTGATATGTCTCTGCAAAAAAGAAAAAATTGGTCTAAAGAGTTTAGACAGTACTTCCCTCGCTGTCGGAAACTTGACGACTGCATGCCTATTGTGTTTTTTTTTCTCATTACATTTTTGTAGTGGGAACTTAAAAAAAAATTGTGATGACGTCATCAACATTTTTGCAAGGACACGTATATCAGTTGGGATAGATGTAGTGTAATACTAAGAATAAAATTATTGTATTCCCAAATTTTCGGGAAAATGAATTGGGTCGTTTTGAATATTGATTTTTTATAATCAATAAAATAACGAAACAATTTACTCACGTATACGGCGCCGGTGTGTAATATCTAGAGAGCGGATTTCTGTCGGGCTAGGCAAGGCCAAACTCGGTACGGCTCGTACGGGATGCGAATTCATTGCGGTTGCGGACTGCACTTCGTTTATTTGAGATTAGAATAACGCTGTTTCGTTGCACTCTGCTGTTAATTCCCGTTCTCATTTACTTAGCCGTTTGATTAATAAATCGTTAATTATATTTATGGAATTAGTGATTAAATTAAGTGATTATCTATCACCCGCTACTGAGTCCCGGAGATCCAGCGCGTCCCCACCTATAATCGTGACGTAGCCCGACAAAAATCCGCTGTCTAGTAATATGAAAGGCAACTGAAAATCGTTTATGTATAAACATTCTTAATTTAAGATGACAAGCGTAACAGCATACGTGAGAGTCAAACAGAGAAACTGTAAACAAAACGACCATCGGTTTTATTGCTTCGACTTCCGCTTATTATATAAAACATTGGGTTTTATTTTAATTCTTGACGGTGAAATTCACAATTGGTTGATTATAAACATGTCTATTTCACATTCGCGGAACCAAGTGAGCGCATAAAACAAATGCAGGTCTGTAATGTTAAAGTCGATGTAAATAAGCGTGCTACCCTTATGTTTCAACCGAGTTTTTCCTTTAACAAATTTTGTGTCTACCAAATTGGGTTGGTTGGGGTGTAATACTAATAATAAGTGTTGCCTTTAATTTAATCAATAAAATAAATTGACTTCATTAATTTTTTTTAACCGCCTCTTAAGAAAATCTAAAAAATATGAATGGAATGATAAATCACAAGTACAAACTCATCATATTTTTTGCATTTTAGATAGGATTTATTCAGCAAAATTTAAGGGTGACGTCATCAATTTTTTTTGAGGGATGAACAAATACATTTTGAACAAAAGTTTACCATGCTTATAATAACTTTAAAATATTCCCAAGATTTCAAAGATTCGGTTTTGTAATTCCTGAATAAATCGATAAAATAAATTCACTCCTTCATTAATTTTTTTGAGTCACCCTGCATATGCAAATCCAAAAATATGAATGGAATGATAAATCACAAGTACAGACTCATCATATTTTGTACATTTTAGATACGATTTATTCGGCAAACTTTTGAGCTGACGTCATCAGTTTTTTGTAGAAGATAACCAAATATATTTTGACTAAAAATTTATTATGCTCTTTATAACCTTAAAACATTTGCAAGATTTCAAAGCATTTGGTTTTGTAGTTCCTGATTAAATCAATAAAATAAATTCACGCATTCATTAATTTTTTTGAGTCACCCTGTATATGCAACTCGAAAAAATTTGAATGGAATGATAAATCACAAGAAGAGACTCACCATATTTTGTACATTTTAGATAGGATTTATTCAGCAAAATTTTGTGGTGACGTCATAAATTTTTTAGGTGGGACGACCAAATACATTTTGATCAAAAATTTACCATGCTTATGATGATTTTAAAATATCTTCAAGATTTCGAAGCATTCGGTTTTGTAGTTCCTGAGTAAATCAGTAAAATAAATTTACGCTTTCATTTATTTTCTTGAATCACCCTGTATACGCAAATCCAAAAAATATGAATGGAGTGATAGATCACAAGTACAGACTGATCATATTTTGTACATTTTAGATATTATTTATTCGGCAAATTTTCGAGCTGACGTCATCAAGTTTTTGGAGGGGATAAGCAAATATATTTTGACTAAACATTTATTATGCTCTTTATAACCTTAAAACATCTGCAAGATGTCAGAGCATTCCGTTTTGTAGTTCCTGATTAAATCAATAAAATATATTTACGCATTCATTAATTTTTTTGAGTCACTCTGTATATGCAAATCCAAAAAATATGAATGGAGTGATAAATGACAAGTACAGGCTCATCATATTTTGTACATTTTAGATATGATTTATTCGGCAAACTTTCGAGCTGACGTCATCAAGTTTTTGGAGGGGATAAGCAAATATATTTTGACTAAACATTTATTATGCTCTTTATGACCTTAAAACATCTGCAAGATTTCAGAGCATTCGGTTTTGTAGTTCCTGATTAAATCAATAAAATATATTTACGCATTCATTAATTTTTTTGAGTCACCCTGTATATGCAAATCCAAAAAATATGAATGGAGTGATAGATCACAAGTACAGACTCATCATATTTTGTACATTTTAGATATGATTTATTCCACAAACTTTTGAGCTGACGTCATCAAGTTTTTGGAGGGGATAAGCAAATATTTTTTGACTAAAGATTTATGATGCTCTTTATAGCCTTAAAACATCTGCAACATTTCAAAGCATTCTGGTTAGCAGATTAAAAATTAAATTTCAAAATGTTGTTTTATAATTTCGATTTTTTTTCCAAAAATCTGGACGTTTCGGGTGAAAAGTCGATTCAGAGTTGTAAACTACATGTGTAGGACTATGTTATTTTATACAATTGAAAACCCATTTACTATGTACAATTTTGAAGTGACGTCATCGCATTAGTGGTGGGGATGATTAGACAAATTTTGGTTAGCGTTTTACCATCTACATGATATTCTTAATATAAGTACAAAATTTCACAACAATCGGTCGGGTACTTTCGGAGATTATCTGTCTAATAAAAATCCGGGACGGCAGACGGACAGACGGACAGACGGACGGACAGACGGACGGACAGACGGACGGACAGACGGACAGACGGACAGACAGACGGAAATGGGAGACCTATTTCTTCGTCTTCTAGGGGTCATGAAAGATCGAGAAAACGTAAAAGTAGAGAGTCGGCCGACGGACTCGATTACAATACTTCCTTTGCTTACGCTCGGGAAGTAAAAACACGAGGGGAATAAATCAGGCGTCTTGGTGTGGAAAAAAAAAACGGGCTCGTGCGGGATTCGAACCCACGTCCTCCGAGAGTTCATTGTTCAGTTCGGCGCTCTAACCAACTGAGCTAACGAGCCGTTGCTTCCACACAACCTCAGACATCATAATCAATAATACAAACATTTTTATAACTCATATATAAATCTGTGTATGTATACATTTTTACAAAATTCAAATTACTTACAGTTGTTTTAGGCTCACTAGTGGGTTAAATGTTCCCAGCGCAATCGTACTGATCTGGTTCTGATTCAGCTTCAACTTTTCCAAACTCCCTAATTTTGCAAAAGCCAACAATTCTATACTCTTAATATTATTATTTGAAACGTCCAGCCTGCGTAGATTTGGCAACTCAGAAAACTGATTGTTCTGAAGCTCTGTCAACCTATTTCCACTCAAATCACTACAACACACTTAATTATTAAAACACAAACACCCACTCCCAATTACTTACAGTTTCTGCAAAGCAATCAGTTGCACTTTCGGGAAAAACGTATCCAAGAGATTGTTAGACAAATTGCTGAAAAACAACAATCACCACAAGCTAAACACTAACTTAAGCCACTTACAACTGAACCACGTCGTTTGCTATATTCAAAATATCGATTTCTTCGAGACTGTTAATTTTACTGTTGCCTTCGCCACATCGCAGTTTGATTTCATCGCGCTGATTTATTCTCCGACAAACACACTTACTGGGGCACAAACCCTCGTTGGCACTAACGATAATAATTGATAATAATAGTATACTTCTTGCGATAAGTGGACTACACATGTTCTTCCACTCCAAAATGAAAAGTATCACAACATTGGGGCACCTCTTTCAAACGTGCTGCTTTTCCTACACACCATTTTATCACTGAAAGTAGATTTTAAAATGCAATTTCGACATATTCGATTAAAAAAACTTTATCTTACCAGTCTATTTAAAACTGTTTATGGTAAATGTAAATATAAACAATTTGCCGGCCATTTTGGATGTGTCATTTTTTATTGAATTTATCTCGTAAGGTTGGCAATTGCGCAATTGGAAGGGGGAGTAGGCAACCAACAAAACGCGAAACGCACGCGGGAAATTTAATTCGACAAGGGAGATAAAAAACCGAAGAAAGAAAAATTTTCAAAAAGCAACTTTTTTTATTTGTTTATGAGTTATAGTAAAATTGTTGTTTAAATGCACCTCCAGCCGCTGCGTACTTGCACAACGCACTCTTATCAGTCTCCATTTTCATGTATTTATTTTTCTTATCAGCCTTGCAATATAAATCATTCTATAATGAAATAACCAGATAGATAACGTAACGAATTTTACCCGCAAGTTCTAACACAATGACGACAACTACAAATAGCGGTAAGTAAACTTTGCATAAAAATTGCTTCTATTTATTTGTAGTGAATGTGTTTTCAGGACGACGATGCAGTTTAATTATTTTATCAGCGACGATCATTTTTATCATTTGTACGGTTATAATCGGTTTGTGTGTCAGATTTTTAACGACAGGAAAGGTTCAGCAAGTGATTCTAATCACACTGATATGTGTACTGGGCGTCGTAGGTATGACATCAGTGATTATTCTCGAAATTAGAAGACGGCGAAATTTGAATAAACAGAAGCAGGTGAAAGCAGCAAGGGGCAATTACAAATTGGCGCCAACCGCACCACCAATGTCTAATGCTTCGTCGTGGAGCTACAACAAAAATTACAGCAACAGAACCACCATTCAAGCCTGATACTCCCAAGTGTTTTTTAATGTGTTCAAACTATTTGTAATTTCATTTATCATGAGTTGTTATTTATTTTAATAATTTTCGTTTTATACAATGTGTTTTTATCGTTTTATTACTATTACTCACTCCCACGTCGTTACTCACTCTTATTATGTTACTAAGAGTTAAAGATTTTAAGGTTTCTTACTTAAAAATTGGTCTAAATAATTGAATTTGATTTTAATTTAATTTTTCAAACACGATAAGTATTCTCATTAAAAAATGAAGTCTGACATATGTTTTGAATTCTGTTTACTGGGAAATTTCGGTTTTAATTAGGTCAACAGTCGTAGAAAAAAGGGAATACCCCCTATTACACACAATGAAGTGGATTATTATTAAACTTTATTAGATAACCGTAAAACGGGATCACTGTTTTCGTGATAACTTCTTGTTTTCCTCAGAGAATGGAGTGGAACAGCTTACAATAATTCGTTTTACAGTATCTAACATATTTTTGCAATCTTTGACCTTTCACTTGTAAAATTTACACCATACATAAATAAAAACGCGATTGTTGCATTTTCATTGTCCAAAATGAGTGCACACTACGCACTATTGGTTTTTTTAGTGTCAACAATTGCCACTAATGGTCAAAGTCAAACTTTCACCCCTCTCGCAAGTATTTCTATTAATTCGTCTCTCTTCTTTTTATAACTCTAAAACCACATTACAGCTTGCGGGGCTACTTTCTATCGAAAAACCGGCTCCTTTTCCTCGCCCCCCTTCTACAACCCCTCTAAACCGTGCCAGTGGCGCATCTCCGCAGCCCCCGACGAAAAAATCCTCCTCAACATTACAGACATCGATATCGAAAAATCGCCAGACTGCGTTTCCGGGTTCGTGGAAATCCGAGATGGCTTTTGGCGAAAATCTCCACTGATTGGAAAATTCTGCGGAAAAGACAACGGGTTGGACACCATCTTGTCGACGGGCAATCGCATGTTGGTGTCTTATATGCACAGAACTGGCAACCGAGGGTTTAAAGCCAGTTATCAAGTCTTCTGTGGGGGCGAAATCTACGTAGAAACTGAACATATTTTGCAGTCGCACGAAAACACAGGGAATTATCCAGCTGATAAGAAGTGTCTGTGGACTATTATAGTTCCCGAGGGCCAACAAGTCGTGCTAGACTTCGACAAATTCAACTTAGAACACGAACCCAACTGTTTGAACGATTTTGTGGAAGTTATCGATGCTGGAACTTCGTTGTCGAAGTTCTGTGGAAACGAAACTCCCTCGAAGATTATGTCGTCGTCGAACATTCTCCAGGTGAAGTTCGTTTCGGACTCCTCCGTGCAGAAACAAGGTTTTTCCGCACGCATCATGGCGGAGTACGATGAATGCGCCACTGGGGATGATGGGTGTGCCCATAAGTGCGTTAATACCCTGGGAAGCTACAGATGTGAATGCAAAACTGGGTACGATTTGAACTCGGATGGTAAAAATTGCCAGAAGACTTGTGGGGGGTTGTTGGAGGAGGCAGCAGGTGTGGTCGAGTCGCCCTCTTTTCCCGGGGAGTATCTCCCGAATAAGACTTGCGTCTGGGAGATTGTGACGTCAGCGGAGAATATGGTGTATTTGAATTTTACCCATTTTGATATTGAAGGGAAGAATCAAACTCATAGCAAGAAGGAGAAGTGCGAGAAGGATAAGTTGGAGGTTGTCAGTATGGCGGGGGAGAATGTTCTGAAACGACACGGAATGTTTTGTGGGGGGGTTATGCCAGAACCCATTTTCTCAAAAAGCAGTGTCCTGAAAATCGTTTTCAGCGCGGATGGGGAAGAGGAGAGGACGGGATTTGCGTTGAACTATCTTACATGTAAGTTTGAAACGTTTTTGGCTTATATAACTTTTTTTTTTTTAGATAAAAACACGTGTGATAAATTCAACGGGAACTGTCAGCATGAATGCTACACAACCCCAAGCAGTGGCCGAAAATGCGTCTGTCTGAAAGACTACACTCTACAGCCAAACAACCAGGACTGCAAAAAAGGTCTTTGCGACTACCAGATCTCTTCCACATCCGGGACCATCCATAGCGTCAACTATCCTAACCCATACCCCCATAGCACATCTTGCTCTTGGCACTTTAAAACCACGCCAGGTCACAAACTAGAACTACATTTCGTCGTTTTTGAAACAGAACCAGATAATCAGTGTGCTAGAGACTACGTAGTTATCTACGATGGTCCTTCTTCGGCTTCACGCAACGTAGGAAGACTATGCGGATCTCGATCAAATTTCAAAACGACGTCCACAACTAACGAAATGTTCGTGTATTTCCGAACAGATCACTCGGTAGCTCCTAAGGGATTTGAGGCAAAGTACACTTCAGTCTGTGGAGGGACGTGGAATGTTAGTACTGAGGACAACTACATTTACTCCCATGATGGATATGGACTTACGACTTATTACGCAAATTCGGTTTGTGACTGGAAGATTGTGGCTCTCCCTGCCCACAAAACGTTTCTAGCAATTGAAGTCCTCCACATTGAAGAAACCGACGACTGTGAGTTCGATTTTGTAGAAATTTTTGATGGGGAGGTATCCGCGGGGAAGTTTTGTGGCAGCAATGTAAGTATTTTAAATTTTGACCCGTTGAATGTTTATCTGGGGTTTTTAGGTTACGAAAGAGTTTATCTCTTATAATAATTATACCATCAAGTTCCGAACAGATGACACGAATAGTGATAAAGGGTTTAGGATTAGGTACAAGGGTCTGAAGAATGATCACGTTGTTAAGGTCGATCCGAACTGATTTAAGAAACGAAGGAAAGTGAACAAAAAATTAAAGCTAAACACACATTATACATTATAGTTTGAAAGCAAAAATAAAATTTTTACCTAAATTATTCAACGTTATCCAAAATTAATTTTTCATCCCCACCAACAATTTAATGACGTCACCTCAATACATATTTATAACTATCCTAATAAATTAAGCAAATTTTTCAAAAAACTAAATTAAATAATTACACAAATAAGTCAATAGATTTCGGCAAGGATACCGTTAATATTTTAAATTTAATTTGCTCTCCAGTTTTAAATTTTCTATATTGGAATCTCAAATGTGATGTTTTTTTATTCTTAGAAACTTGGAACACGTTCAAAATGGAAATATGGATTTTGCAATTAGGCTCCGCCCCTAGGTCTACCAATGAATGAAAACTTCATTACTATTTAGATTAGGGCAGGTGTGGGTGGGGCTTAATCTTTGGCTTTATTTTTTTCTTAATAGACATACTATTCTCTGAATAATTATATTTCCTTATGCAAATTTTAAACACGTTTTAAGTTGCATGTTGTAGTAAGAAGTAGTACTTGCTAACATGAGTCTTATTTTGGCCAATGACAAATCCTTTGAAAAAATAGGAGGTGGGTGGGCGGGGCTAGTGCTTGCTAAGATAAGACTTATTTTGGCAAAGGACATATCTTTTGAGAAAATAGGGGGCGCATAGACGGATCTAGTACTTGTTAACTTAAAAGTGATTTTGCCCCTATAGTGGAGTGCTGTAAGGTTTATACCCCGGAACCTGCTTCCACTGGACGGATTTTTGTTCAACCTTTTGGAATGTGTTTTTAACACTAAATTATAAAATGTTTACCCATTTATGTATTATTGTCGATTCTCAATTTATTTATTATTAAAATAAATAATAATAATTTTTTCGGAGTTTTCATTCATTTTCTATTAAAAACTCGAAATTTTTTGCTCTTAAAGTTAGATTTTACGTAGGATAACTAGTACAAACCTATCCTTGGGGCCTCAGGTAAAAAGGTAAGAGGAATTATAAAAGCGACAACAGCAGATATTTGACGTCGTGTGCAACATAATACTGTCGTTTCCAAAAAATTTCGGGGAAATGACATTGACATGAAAGTCATATTCCCATTGCTTTTCATTGATCTATAAAAATCTGATTTGGTCATCTTGCCCGAAATTTTTTGGAAACGTTTGTAGTAGGTACACGTGTTCAATTGAAAAATCACTCAGAGTAGGCGTTGGAATATCATTTGACAGAATCAATTGCTCTCTTAGAGGGTATGTCATTTGCCAAAAGCAGTCTTATCTTAGCAAGTAGTAGCCCCGCCCACCCAGCCCTGTTTTCTCAGATGATATGTTATTTGCCAAAATAAGTTTTCCTTAGTAAGTAGTAGCCCCGCCCACCCACCCTCTATTTTTTCAGAGGATATGACGTTCGCCAAAATCAGTATTATCTGAGCAGGTAGTAGCCCCGCCCATCCGCCCCTATTTTCTCAGAAGATATATCATTTGCCAAATAAGATTTATCTTAGCAATTACTAGCAAGTACTGCTCTCTGAGAAAAAAAAGGGCGGGTGGGCGGGGCTAGTACTCGGTAAGATAAGACTGATTTTGGCAAATCACATACTCTCTAAGAAAGTAAAGGGTGGGTGGGTGGTCGAGGCTAGTACTTGGTAAGATAAAACTGATTTTGGCAGATGACATATCCTCTAAGAAAGTATAGGGTGGGTGGGTGGGGCTAGTACTTGGTAAGATAAAACTGATTTTGGCAGATGACATATCCCCTAAGAAAGTATAGGGTGGGTGGGCGGGGCTAGTACTTGCTAAGATAAGACTGATTTTGCCCTTATCAATCTTGTAAAATCTTGTGAAATTTAAAGGTGTTAGATGCAAATTTCCATAGTAACGAGTTAAATTCCTAAATCTAACCGAAATAGGCAAAATATGATGAGTTTTTGCTTGTGAGTTATCATTGCATTCATATTTTTTAGATTTGCTTATGCAGTTGACTCAAAAAAATTAATGAATATTATCAATTTATTTTATTGATTAAATCACTGCATTTTCCCAGAAAACTTTGGGAATACAATACTGTTATTTTTAGTATTACCGTGCAGCAGTCCAAGTTGATATGTGTCCTTGCAACAATGTTGATGGCGTCATCACAAAATTCTGTAAAGTAAAAACTCAACTCAAAAATGCTGGATATGTTTCACTGTATTTCAGGTGCGAGGAAAGTTCTGTCGAAACCACTTTCGACCAATTTTTTTTTTATGTGAAACCTTCTTTGGGGTCCCTATTTTATTTAAAAAAAAAATAAAACCTTCTCGGTGGCTTCAAAGTATCTTCTTTTTTAATGTAAAACCTTCTCAGGGTCCCCAAATGGCCTTTTTTTTTTAATGTTAAACCTTCTCGGGGTTCTCAACTGTCTTTTTTAGAATGTAAAACCTTCTCGGTGGCCCCAAGGTATCTTTTTTTTAATGTGAAACCTTCTCGCGAATCCCAAATGCCTTTTTTAAAAACATAAAACCTTCTCGAGGGCCCCAAGGTATCTTTTCTTTAATGTGAAACCTTCTTGGGGGTCCCAAATATCTTTTTTAAAAATGTAAAACCTTCTCGGGAGTACCAATTGTCTTTTTTAAAAATGTAAAATGTTCTCCGGAGCGTTAAATGTTTTTTTTTAATGTGACACTGTCTCAGGGGTTCCAACTGTCTTTTTTTAAAATGTAAAACCTTCTCGGGGGCCTCAAAGTATCTTTTTTTTAATGTAAAACTTTCTCAGGGGCCCCAAATGGCTTTTTTTAAAATGTAAAATCCTCCCGAGGGCCCCAAAGTATCTTTTTTTAATGTGAAACTTTCTCAGGGGCCCCCAATGGTTTTTTTTTTAATATTGAAACTTCTCGGGGTTCTCAGCTGTCTTTTTTAAAACTGTAAAAACTTCTCGGTGGCCACAAAGTATCTTTTTTTTTTAATGTGAAATCTTCTCGGGGGTTCCAAATGTCTTTTTTAAAAATGTAAAACCTTCTCGGGGGCCCCAAAGTATCTTTTTTTTTAATGTTAAACCTTCTCGGGGGGCCCAAAGTATCTTTTTTTTTTAATGTTAAACCTTCTCGGGGGCACCAAAGTATCTTTTTTATAATGTGAAACCTTCTCGGGGGTCCCAACTGTCTTTTTTAAAAATGTAAAACCTTCTCCGGAGCGTCAAATGTCTTTTTTTTAATGTGACACTGTCTCAGGGATCCCAGCTGTCTTCTTTAAAAATGTAAAACCTTCTCGGGGGCCTCAAAGTATGTTTTTTTTTTAATGTAAAACCTTCTCGGGGTTCTCAACTGCCTTTTTTTTTAATGTAAAACCTTCTCGGGGGCCCCAAAGTATTTATTTAATGTAAAACCTTCTCGGGGGTCCAAATGTCTATTTTAAAAATGTTAAATCTTCTCGAGGGACCCAAAGTATCTTTTTTTTTTTAATGTTAAACCTTCTCGGGGTTCTCAATTGTCTTTTTTAAAATGTAAAACCTTCTCGGGGGCACCAAAGTATCTTTTTTATAATGTGAAACCTTCTCGGGGGTCCCAACTGTCTTTTTAAAAATGTAAAACCTTCTCCGGAGCGTCAAATGTTTTTTTTTTAATGTGACACTGTCTCAGGGATCCCAACTGTCTTTTTTAAAAATGTAAAACCTTTTCGGGGGCCTCAAAGTATCTTTTTTTTTAATGTAAAACCTTCTCAGAGGCTCCAAATGGCTTTTTTTTTAATGTGAAACCTTCTCGCGGTTCTCAATTGTCTTTTTTAAAAATGTTAAACCTTCTCGGGGTTCTCAACTGTCTGTTTTAGAATGTAAAACCTTCTCGAGGGCCCCAAAGTATCTTTTTTTAATGTGAAACCTTCTCGGGGGTCCCAAATGTCTTTTTTAAAAATGTAAAATCTTCTCGAGGGCCCCAAAGTATCTTTTTTTTTTAATGTGAAACCTTCTCGGGGGTCCCAAATATCTTTTTTAAAAATGTAAAACCTTCTCGGGAGTACCAATTGTTTTTTTTTTTAATGTAAAACCTTCTCGGAGGTCCTAAAGTATCTTTGTTTTAATGTGAAACCTTTTCGGTGGTCCCAAATGTCTTTTTTAAAAATGTAAAATCTTCTCGAGGGCCCCAAAGTATCTTTTTTTTTAATGTGAAACCTTCTCGGGGGTCCCAAATATCTTTTTTAAAAATGTAAAACCTTCTCGGAGGTCCCAAAGTATCTTTTTTATAATGTGAAACTTTCTCGGGGGTCCTCAATGCCTTTTTTGACAATGTAAATTCTTCTCGAGGGCCCAAAGTATCTTTTTTTTAATGTGAAACCTTCTCGGGAGTCCCAACTGTCTTTTTTAAAAATGTAAAATCTTCTCCGGAGCGTCAAATGTCTTTTTTTTAATGTGACACTGTCTCAAGGGTCTCAACTGTCTTTTTTAAAAATGTAAAACCTACTCGGGGGCCCCAAAGTATCTTTTTTTAATGTGAAACCTTTTCGGGGGTAGCAAATGTCTTTTTTAAAAATGTAAAATCTTCTCGAGGGCTCCAAAGTATCTTTTTTTTAATGTAAAACCTTCTCAGGGGCCCCAAATGGCATTTTTTTTAATGTTAAAACTTCTCGGGGTTCTCAACTGTCTTTTTTAAAGCTGTAAAACCTTCTCGGGGGCCCCAAAGTATCTTTGTTTTAATGTGAAACCTTCTCGGGGGTCCCAAATGTCATTTTTAAAAATGTAAAACCTTGTCGAGGGCCCCAAGGTATCTTTTTTTTTTAATGTGAAACCTTCTCGGGGGTCCTAAATGTCTTTTTTAAAAATGTTAAACCTTCTCGAGGGCTTCAAAGTATCTTTTTTTTTATTGTAAAGCCTTCTCAGGGGCCCCAAATGTTTTTTTTTAATATTAAACCTTCTCGGGGTTCTCAACTGTCTTTTTTTAAATTTAAAACCTTCACTTACAATAATAATATTTTAAATTTAATTTGCTCTACGGTTCTAAATTTTCTATATTGGAAATTTCAGTTATTCAGCTAATTTGAACATGAATTAGAGCAAAAAGTGAATACCCTAATAACTTATAATAAACAAACAATAAACTGCATTATTGTTATATTTCATTAAACATCCGTAAAAAAAGGTCACTGTTTTTCTGATAACTTCTTGTTTTCATTGAAATGAATCTACGAGTGAATAGCGAATAAATACATGAATCGCACAGTAACTCATTCTACGGTATTTAGCCTATTTCTGCAATCTCTAACCTTTAACTTCTATTGTAAAACCAAACCCTATAAAATAAACCCCATCTGCAGCATCTTCAGTGTTCCAAAATGAGAGCACAATACACACTATTTATTTTTTTACTGTCAACAGTTATTTCTAGCAATGGTCAAAGTAGCACCCCTCTTACAAGTATTTTTTTCTACTGATCCCGATTTTATAATTTCGTAATGACATTTCAGCCTGCGGTGCCACCTTTTATCGAAAAACCGGCACCTTCTCCGCGCCCCCCTTCTACAACCCAACAAAACCCTGCCAGTGGCGCATCTCGGCAGCCCCCGACGAAAAAATTTTCCTAAACATTACGGACCTCGACATCGAAAAATCGCAAGACTGTGTTTCCGGGTTCGTGGAAATACGAGACGGTTTTTGGCAAAATTCTCCAATAATTGAAAAATTCTGCGGGAGAGATGACGAGTTGGACACTGTCTTGTCGACGGGAAACAAGATGTTGGTGACTTACATGCACAGAATTGGCAATAGGGGGTTTAAAGCGAGTTACCAAATCTTCTGCGGGGGTGAAATTTACGTAGACAGTGAATATATTTTGCAGTCGCATGAAACCAATGGGAATTATCCACCTAACAAGATGTGTCTTTGGACTATTATAGTTCCAGAGGGCCGACAAGTCGTTCTAGACTTCCAAAAATTCAGCCTTGAAAACGAAGCAAACTGCTTGAATGATTTTGTGGAAGTTGTTGATGGTGGAAGTTCTTCGACGAAGTATTGTGGGGACCAAACTCCCCCGGAGATTATTTCGTCGTCAAACACTTTGCAGGTGAAGTTCGTTTCGGACTCCTCCGTGGAGAAACAAGGTTTTTCCGTACGGATCATGGTGGAGTACGACGAATGTGCCGTTGGGAATCATAGGTGCGCCCACAAGTGCGTCAATACCCTTGGAAGCTACAGATGTGATTGTAAAGCTGGATACGATTTGAACTCGGATGGCAGAAGTTGCCAGAAGAGTTGTGGGGGTTTGTTGGAGGAAGCAACAGGTGTGATCCAGTCACCATCTTTCCCTGAGGAGTATTTCCCCAATAAGACTTGCGTTTGGGAGATTATGACGTCCGCGGACAATGTGGTATTTTTGAACTTTACTCATTTCGATATTGAAGGGAAGAATCAGACGCATAGCAGGAAGGAGAGGTGCGAAAAGGATAAGTTGGAGATTTTCAGTGTGACTGGGGAGAATATTTTGAAACGTCACGGGAGGTTTTGTGGGGGGGTTCTGCCAGAACCGATTTTCTCAAAAAGCAGTGCCTTGAGAATTGTTTTCAGTACGGATGCGGAAGAGCAAAGGACGGGATTTGCCTTGAACTATACCACATGTAAGTTTGAAATGTTTTTGGTTTAAATAACGTTCCTTTTTAGACAAAAACGCATGTGATAAATTCAGGGGCAACTGCCAACATGAATGCTACACAGACGTAGGCAGTGGCCGAAAGTGCGTCTGCCAAAACGGCTACACTCTAGACGGGAACAACCAGGACTGCAAAAAGGATCTTTGCAACTACGAGATCTCTTCCACATCCGGGACCATCTACAGCGTCAACTATCCTAACCCATACCCCCATAGCACATCTTGCTCTTGGCATTTTAAGACCACGCCAGGTCACAAACTAGAACTACATTTTGTCGTTTTTGAAACAGAATCAGACGATCAATGCAGCAGAGACTACGTAGTTATCTACGATGGTGCTTCTTCGGCTTCTCCCAACATAGGAAGATTATGCGGATCTCGATCAAATTTCAAAACGACATCTACAACTAACGAAATGTTCTTGTATTTTCGAACAGATCACTCGGTAAATCCTAAGGGATTTGAAGCAAGGTACACTTCGGTTTGTGGAGGGACGTGGAATGTTGGTACTGAGGATAACTATATTTACTCCCATGATGAGTACGGACTCACGAATTATTCGGCGAATTCAGTTTGTGACTGGACTATTATGACTCCATCTGGTTACAAAACGTTTCTAGCAATCGAAGTCCTCCACATTGAAGAAACCGATGACTGTGAGTTCGATTTTGTGGAAATCTTTGATGGGGAGGTATCAGCGGGGAAGTTTTGTGGTAGCAATGTAAGTATTTTAAAGTTCGAAACGTTGAATGTTCATATGGGGTTTTTAGGTTACGAGGGATTTTATCTCGTATAATAATTATACCATCAAATTCCGAACAGATGACACCAATAATGATAAAGGGTTTAGAATTAAGTACAAGGGCGTAAAGAGTGAACACGTTGTTAAGGTCGATCCAAATTGATTTAAGAAACGAAGGAAAGTGAACAAAAAATTGAAGCTGACAACACACAATACATTATAGTTTGAAAGCAAAAATAAAATTTTTACCTTTTACCAAAATTAATTTTTCATCCCCACCAACAATTTAATGGCGTCACCTCAATACATATTTTTAACTATCCTAATAAATCAAGCAAATTTTTCAAAAAACCAAATTAAATAATTACACAAATAAGTCAAGAAATTTCGGCAAGGATACCGTTAATATTTTAAATTTAATTTGCTCTCCGGTTTTAAATTTTCAGTTTTACAGCTAATTAGGACATGAATTAGAACAAAAAGTGAATACCCTATCTCAAATGTGATGTTTTTTTATTCTTAGAAACTTGCAACACGTTCAAAATGGAAATATGGATTTTGCAATTAGGCTCCACCTCCTTGGCTCACGACGAATAAACAAAATCATTAGAATTGAGACAGGGCGGGTGGGCGGGGCTTATATTTTGCATTTTTTTATTCTTAATATACATAGTCATCTTTTCACAACAAGAGACTTAGAACATGGTTGAAATGGTACTTTTTGCAAGGAAATATGGATTTTGGCATTATGGGGCTGAGGCTAATAATTGCAAAATCGATATTTCCTTACACAAATTTTAAACATGTTTGAAGTTTCATGTTGTAGTAAGAAGTAGTACTTGCTTTTGACACTAAATTATAAAATGTTTACCCATTTATTTATTTTTGTCAATTCTCAATTTTTTTATTATTAAAATAAATAATAATTTTTTCGGAGTTTTCAGTCATTTTCTATTAAAAACTCGAAATTTGTTGCTCTTAAAGTTAGATTTTACGTAGGATAACTAGTACAAACCTGTCCTTGGGGCCTCAGGTAAAAAGGTAAGAAGGCGAAGGAATTATAGAAGTGACAACAACAGATATTTGACGTCGTGTGTAACATAATACTGACGTTTCCAAAAAATTTCGGGGAAATGACATTGACATGAAAGTCATATTCCCATTGCTTTTCATCGATCTATAAAAACCTGATTTGGTCATCTTGCCCGAAATTTTTTGGAAACGTTTGTACTACACGTGTTCAATTGAAAAATGACTCAGAGTATGCGTTGGAATATCATTTGACAGAATCATTTGCTCTCTTAGAGGGTATGTCAATTGCCAAAATTAGTCTTATCTTAGCAAGTAGTAGCCCCGCCCACCCACCCCTGTTTTCTCCGAGGATATGTTATTTGCCAAAATAAGTTTTCCTTAGTAAGTAGTAGCCCCGCCCACCCACCCTCTATTTTCTCCGAGGATATGACGTTCGCCAAAATCAGTCTTATCAGAGCAAGTAGTAGCCCCGCCCACCCGCCCCTATTTTCTCAGAAGATATGTCATTTGCCAAATAAGATATATCTTAGCAAATACTAGCAAGTACTGCTCTCTGAGAAAAAAAAGGGCGGGGCTAGTACTCGGTAAGATAAGACTGATTTTGGCAAATCACATACTCTCTAAGAAAGTAAAGGGTGGGTGGGTGGTCGAGGCTAGTACTTGGTAAGACAAAACTGATTTTGGCAGATGACATATCCTCTAAGAAAGTATAGGGTGGGTGGGTGGGGCTAGTACTTGGTAAGATAAAACTGATTTTGGCAGATGACATATCCTCTAAGAAAGTATAGGGTGGGTGGGTGGGGCTAGTACTTGGTAAGATAAAACTGATTTTAACAGATGACATATCCCCTAAGAAAGTATAGGGTGGGTGGGCGGGGCTAGTACTTGGTTAGATAAGACTGACTTTGGTAAATCACATACTCTCTAAGAAAGTAAAGGGTGGGTGGGTGGTCGAGGCTAGTACTTGGTAAGATAAAACTGATTTTGGCAGATGACATATCCTCTAAGAAAGTATAGGGTGGGTGGGCGGGGCTAGTACTTGCTAAGATAAGACTGATTTTCTGATTTTGCCCTTATTAATTTTGTAAAATCTTGTGAAATTTAAAGGTGTTAGATGCAAATTTCCATAGTAACGAGTTAAATTCCTAAATCTAACTGAAATAGGCAAAATATGATGAGTTTTTACTTGTGAGTTATCATTGCATTCATATTTTTTAGATTTGCTTATGCAGTTGACTCAAAAAAATTAATGAATAATATCAATATATTTATCCTTGCAACAATGTTGATGGCGTCATCACAAAATTCTGTAAAGTCAAAACTCAATTCAAAAATGCTGGATATGTTTCATTGCATTTCAGATGCGAGGAAAGTTCTGTCGAAACCACTTTCGACCAATTTTTTTTTAATGGTAAACCTTCTCTGGGGTCCCAAATTTCTTTTTTAAAAAAGTAAAAGCTTCTCGGGGGCGTCAAAGTATCTTTTTTTTAATGTAAAACCTTCTCAGGGGCTCCAAATGGCCCTTTTTTTATGTTAAACCTTCTCGTGGTTCTCAACTGTCTTTTTTAAAAATGTAAAACCTTTTCGGGGGGCCCAAAGTATCTTTTTTTAATGTGAAACCTTCTCGGGGGTCCCAAATGGCTTTTTTTTAATGTTAAACCTTCTCGGAGTTCTCAACTGTCTTTTTTAAAACTGTAAAACCTTCTCGCGGGCCTCAAAGTATCTTTTTTTTATTGTGAAACCTTCTCGCGGGTCCCAAATGTCTTTTTTAAAAATGTAAAACCTTCTCGGGGCCCTCAAACTATCTTTAAAAAAAAAAAACCTTCTCGCGGGTCCCAAATGTCTTTTTTAAAAATGTAAAACCTTCTCGGGGGTCCCAAAGTATCTTTTTTTTTAATGTGAAACCTTCTCGGGGGTCCTAAATGTCTTTTTTTAAAATGTAAAACCTTCTCGGGTGCCCAAAGTATCTTTTTTTTAAAGTGAAACCTTCTCGGGGGTACCAACTGTCTTTTTTAAAAATGTGAAACATTCTCGGGGGCCTCAAAGTATCTTTTTTTTTAATGTAAAACTTTCTCAGGGGCCCCAAATGTTTTTTTTTAATGTTAAACCTTCTCGTTAGTACCAATTGTCTTTTTTAAAAATGTAAAACCTTCTCGGAGGTCCCAAAGTATCTTTTTTTAATGTGAAACCTTCTCGGAGGTCCCAAATGTCTTTTTTAAAAATGTAAAATCTTCTCGAGGGCACCAAAGTATCTTTTTTTTAATGTGAAACCTTCTCAGGGGCCCCAAATGGCTTTTTTTTAATGTGAAATCTTCTCGGGAGTCCCAAATATCTTTTTTAAAAATGTAAAATCTTTTCGGGGGTCCCAAAGTATCTTTTTTTTAATGTGAAACCTTCTTGGGGGTCCTAAATGTCTTCAAAAAAAAAAAAATTCCTAAACATTACGGACCTCGACATCGAAAAATCGCAAGATTGTGTTTCCGGGTTCGTGGAAATATATAAGAGACAGTTTTTGGCAAAATTCCCCAATAATTGAAAAATTCTGCGGGAAAGACGACGAGTTGGACACTGCCTTGTCGACGAGAAACAAGATGTTGGTGTCTTACATGCACAGAACTGGCAACAGGGGGTTTAGGGCTAGCTACAGATGACACCAATAATGATAAAGGGTTTAGAATTAAATACAAGGGCGTGAAGAATGAACCCACGGTAAAAGTTGATCCAAATTGATTAAGAAAAACAAAAATAAACAAAAAAGGCTGACTACACATACTTTGCAATATATTAAAGTCTAATTATTTTATCGTTGTAGCACCCAAAGTTTTCCCAGGTAGAAATGAAATACTATGTATAAAAACTGTATTATTAATTAAACAGTTTCAAAAGTCATCTGCTCCACATACTATAGTAGTTTTTAATAAATAAATATCTAGAGGAAAAATGTACTCAACCTTACAATTAACTTTTATTTTCTCGTTTAAGTCTGGCGGCAGCGGCAACGACTTTGAGCTTTGATACATAATTTATGATGTTATTTAATCCTTTCATTATAATAAAGGGCGTGTCTTTAAAAGAACTGAACGTTACCCGATATAAATTCACTTGCACACTTCATCAAATATCCATCATGGCAAACACCACCACACAGAGTTTCAGTACAGTCATAACAATCCTACAATGTGTCGGTCTCTACCACGACCCAAACCAACCCAAACTAGTAAAAATCTGGAGCTACGTTTTATACTTTTCGTCCTTATCCGTCGCAATCCTGGTTTTCATTAATCTCCTAGTTGACGAAAACATGGACTCGATGCAGTTCATCCAAATGGTCATAGTCCTCACAGACGGCACCGCCGGCTGCATGAAAATCTTACCATTTTTTCTGAAGGGCCACAAACTCAAAGAATGCATCGAGTTTTTCGGAAGCGAAATTTTCGCCCCAGCGAACCAAGAAGAAAAGCGAATTACCGACGAATGCATTCGTGTTTGCCAACGAAACGTCAAAATATACGCTTCTGTGTTGCTTCTCACAGAACTGTCCTGGATAACACTACCACTTTTTGAAACAGAGCAAAGACTTCCACTGAGTGTGTGGCTTCCGTATGATGTAACATCAGGAACCGCGATTTTCTATGGAACTTACTTCGGTGTAGTTACAGGTGCGTTACTGCATTTTGTGTTTCGTCTTAATTCGTAATTGCAGTGTGTTTGTATTTCGGGATTGCTGAAATGTTGGAACCTTTGATTGGAGGTCTGGTGTACCATGCCACAGGTCGGCTCAAAATTTTGAAACACAGTTTGCAAAATCTCGCCAAAAATTTAGACAGTTGTTCTGTGGTTGAATTTAGGCAAGTTTTTGGAACTTTGAAAAAGTGTATTGTGCACCACAACGACGTTTTGACGTGAGTTTCGTGAAATTGGGGGTTTAATTTTGAAACACGAATGGTTTTCAGGTTTATTAGAGAGTTTGAAAATTGCTTTTCTTGGTGTGTGTTTTGTCAAATTGCTGCCACTGCAGTCGCACTATGTTTTTGTAGCATTGGGTTGACACTGGTTAGTAGATTTTTCTGTGTGTATTTCTATGGGTGAGTTTTAGGTTTCTTCTATAGATATGGGGTTCGCTATGTACACGTCAAGCTACTTCCTCATAGCTTCACAATTGTTGTTTTACTGTCACTATGGAACTCTATTATACGAAGAAGTATGAAAACTACAAAATATGTAGCGCTTGTTGTACTATACTTTGTAGAATAACGATTTGATGAATGCCATCTATATGGGACCTTGGTACAAATATGATATTAAATTAAGAAAAATGTTAATAATTATTGTCGAACGTTCTAAAATTCCGCTTATTTTAACAGCAGGAAAAGTAATAAACTTGACTTACGCAACTTTCACTTCTGTAAGTTGTTTCAAAACGTTTCTAAAGTGTCTTTAAACCAGTCGATGTGTTTCAGGTGCTTAAAACGAGCTACTCTTTAATCGCTGTTTTGAATAATTACAGCTAATTTTTCTAAACCTAGCCTTAATTTTCATTAAAATCACCCAAAGAACTGTTTTATTATTATTAACGCACTATGTTCTCAGTGGACATGTAACATGTGCACAGAATGTAAAGTTTTGAATAAACCCCACTTGTAAAAATATTGTTTTTATCCGACTACGTTCAAAAATCCCGCCACTACGAACGTCACCGTAGACGCAAGCGCACGTCTGGTTCAAGTTCTTTCCGGTGACGTTTGTGCTGCTGTTGTTGGTAAGTCTTCTCGAAACACACTTTTCTAAATCATCCATCAAATCAACCCCCATCCTTAACCTCCCGTTACATAAAATGACCCATTTATTGCAAATCTCCCTAATCGCGACCATATTTTTGCCATTTTAACTCATTTTTTCCAACTTTTGAGTCCACATAACCTCACTTACTAAAGTGTCAAGAGTGCATCCAATTTCAAACAATTTTAGGTAACAAACACAGCTCTTTTTATCATTTTTGAATGTTTCTACTGAACGTAACCCCATTCAAGACAACGCGTTTCTGTTTTAGGAGTGACAAACAGCACCCAAGATGAAGTTCAACAAACTCGTAACCGCTTCGCGAAGCAAAAACAGGAAACGCCATTTCACTGCCCCGTCGCACGTGCGTAGGCGACTTATGTCGGCCCCCTTATCCAAAGAACTCAGACAAAAGTACAATGTTCGTACGATGCCTATCCGCAAAGACGACGAAGTGCAGGTTGTACGGGGCCACTACAGGGGGCAGCAAGTAGGAAAAGTAGTCCAAGTGTACAGGAAAAAGTTCGTGATTTATATTGAGCGGATTCAAAGAGAAAAAGCCAACGGGGCTACTGTCTATGTTGGAATTCACCCGTCCAAGGTATGTAGTGCCACCTTTTTTCCAGTTTGTGGCTTGTGGCTGGAATGATGATCATAAACCATTCGTAGACCATAAGAATTGACCCGACTTTGTTGCGCTTGTTGAGGTTCTCTTGGCAATGTGGTGACTTGGTTTGGTTGTCTTATGCCATGGTTAGATTTTGGCACTGATTAAGAGTTTAATTTTGTGTTATACAGTTTTACAGGAGCGGTTTTATAGTGGTTTTTGTGTTTCAGGTGGTAATTGTTAAGCTCAAGATGGATAGGGACAGGAAGAAGATCATTGACCGTAGAGCCAAGGGAAGATTGGCTGCTTTGGGCAAGGACAAGGGCAAATACACGGAAGAAACTGCGTCGGCAACAGCTGTCGAAACTTCATAAGCTTGTATTTTGTATTAAAGTAATAAAAAATTGAAATTGTGACGTGTTTTATTTTTTTAATGTTTACATGGTGTCGCGATTCTTCAAAATTCGGCATCGTTAATTCAAACTCAGGCTTGTTGCAAAAATAATATCAATTTTCTTGTGTCCTTCTAGCTGTCCAGTTTGCTCAAATCAGCGTCTTTCTTCACCGATTCCGTCCTAAGTTTATCGTTCACGCCTTCTCTATTCCTGGCGAGTTCTATGGCATAAAATTGTATTCGTGTGACTAAAATTGTGTTATCTTCGAGATAGTCCTTCGAAGCGTCTGCTCTCAACAAAGTCCCGAAACTATAGTCCTCCACACACTTTTTAAACCTTTCACAGAACGGTCTCCACTTTTGTTTGCCTTTGGTGCTTTTTAACTCATCCTCGTATATCACGTCAAGCTTAAGATCCGGAAACTCTTCCCTAAAAAGTTTGTATATCACGTCATCGAGAGGCGTCATTTTTAAGTATTTTGCGTCAACTGAACACAGAATCTGGAATTAGCGACGTTACAAGGGGTTTATGCACGTTTTGTAAGTTACGTTATAGTAAATTTCTGCGTGTTCGTACGCCTTCATAGCCCACATTGTCTCCAGGGTTTGGTCATTTTCGAATTCTTCCGCTGGCCGACTAAGAATGTCCTAAAATACACCCAAATGAGTAATTAGAGTCTCAAAGCTTACAAGAGCACCATGTTGTGATTGAATCGTTCGAAATTTGTTAATTGACGTTCAAATGGGGCCCACGTGCCTCTATTATTTTTTTTGACAGACAGTGCTGCCACTTTGAAATCAATCTTCTAGGGGAATTGAAGTGGTTGTGGCGACATTGTTAAACTGACGTTTGCAGATATTTTTGTGGTTATGTTGCGGTAGAATTAAGTTTTAAATTTATTTATAAGTGAAAAGGGTGAATATTAGTTTAGCAGCGGCAAAAATGGCAACCTCAAATTCTAATATAATAAAACAAATAATCGAACTAAAAAAAGAGAACGAAAAACTTGAAACCACTATCAACTATCTAAAAATGGAAAATTTCGAGTACGCTCTTAAATGCAACGTAGGTCTTCTGCGAGCTACTATGCAAGTACTAAATTCGTAATTTTAGCGAATTGAGAACATTTTGTGTAACGTCAAAACTGTGACTCAGAAGAACGCTAAGAAGCTATTGGGGGCTTCGCAAAATGTGTGCAGTATTTTAGAAGAATGCGGCCCTGAACAAGCAGAAGCACGAAAAACGACAGCTGTGACACCTGGTGCGTTTTCTGAAGCAAAAAATGCTTAATTATTTTCTTTTTTTTTTTTGTAGAAGTTCTGCAACGTCGTTCACAGAGTAATAAAAAATCACTTAAAGAAAACTCACTTAGATTTAACAATAAAGCTCATGTTGTAAAGCCGCACATGGTAAATGGAACTGTGCTACATATTCCAACCATTAACCTTACACGTGTTTCTGATTTGCATTTACAGTCATCAGTGCCAAGTAGTTCAAAAAAAGATGAAACAAATTCTTCGGTATATAGTTTACATGTAGTTGAATTAGGATTGTATACTTCATGCAATGTTTTAGGAGAGTGATATAGTGGTTGATACTACAAATGACGTCACTGGTAAGCAATATGTCGGTGGCGCAAATTTTTACTTATTTATTTTTAACACTAAACACGTTTATTATTATTATTAAATTTGTTTTTTGTTTAGAAGCTGAACCTAATCTCTCACAAGATTTTAACACTGAAAACCAGTAAGTAGTGAAACTAGAGCTGAAAAAATTATTTCATATTCATTAAATCTAGACTTTCGACACTGGGGGAGGTTTCTAATGCTTCAACGTCACAGTCACCAGCACATTCAACCGTTCTGTCTGGAAATTTCCATGAGGTATATTTACGTCGTTTTAAAATGTCGCATTTACGTCATTTTGTGCCTGCTGCAGGTAAAAATTTTTGTGACTCCCATGAGCCAAAAATCTGGCAAAGCTGCAAATGCCAAACGTCGGACGAAAACTTCGAATTCTCGGCGGACTAAATGTAGGTAGAAAGAAAAATGTGTACACATGGTCAAGAAAAAATACATTTCAAAATGTGGTTACAATGTGTGAGATATTTCACGTCAAAGGGAGCGCTGCTGAGGCTTAGAGCGGTGTCTTGGTCCTGGTCATGGTCGGCGACTTTCCCGGTCCTGGTTTGGTCCTGTTGTCATTTATTTATTTGAGTACATCCCTTTTTTTTGTGAACTTTATTCTGATTTTTTTTTATTTTTCAGTACAACATATGTCTTTAAATATTTCGTATTATTTACCTCCTCGACTACCTTAAACGTTTTAATCTGTCGTATTCCCGCGACGGTGTTTCATGTCAACGACGCCATTGAGTTAAAAACAATGGCGTTGGCACTTTTACTAGAGAACAACAGAGAAGCGTCATAGTTTAAATTAAATGACGGTTGAGGACTCCTCGACTTGTGTTGGCAACAGTGTTTGTTTCTAACTAGGAATAAAATAAACTATTTACAATAGAAAAAATGTCATAATATTTTTAACGACGCGTTTAACTTTCGACAAATTGACACTAGATTTACCAGAATATTACAAGCTGCTTACTGTTTCCTTCACTTTAATTCAGGTCAAAGGTTCGTCCTCTGAGAACTTGTTTGATCTACACACCAGAACGCACTCAGGCCAATGTCGACTTTAAGCGTTCGGATCTGATACACATCCTAAGACCATAATTTCTGCTGTTTCAACTTTCGAATTCTCAGTTTTTCGAAAGATTAGTTTGGGGACTTTTCAGTTTACTCCTATTTGTTATTCAATTTTTGGATTTTACAATTTCTCGGTTTTCAATTTTTCTCTTCAATTTTACGATTTTTAAATATTTCGATTTTTCAATTGTTGACTTTTATAAACTCTTTATTTGTCGATTTTTCAATTGATTGATTTTTCAGGTTTTTTGGTTTTTTAATTTTTCAATTTTTTCAGGTTTCGATTTTTCAACTTCACTTTTTTGATTTTTCGATTTCTCAATTTTTCAATTTTTTAATTGCTCAGTTTTTGGACATTTCAGTTTTGGGATTTTTCAGTTTCCGTATTATTCCATTTTTCGATCTTATGATTTTGCAGGTTTTTGATTTGTCAATTTTTCGATTTTTTTAAGGTTTCAATTTTTCGATTCTTTAGGTTCTCAGTTTTTGGATATTTCAGTTTTCGGATTTTTCAAGTTATTAGATTCTCAGTTTTTCTTTCATTTTTCAGTTTTTCGATATCTCAGTTTTGGGATTTTTCAATATTTCGGTTCTTAGACTTTTCGATTTTTAAATTTTAGATTTTTCGTTTTCTCGATTTTTCAGTTCAGTTCTTCGATATTTGAATTTTTCAAGTTTTCGAATTTTTCAAATGTTTCGATTTCTTAATCTTTTGATTTTTCGACTTCCCGGTTTTAGATTTTCTGTTTTTCAATTGTCATCTTGTCAAATTTTCGATTTTTTAATTTTTCATATTTGACTTTTATAAACTTTCAATTTATCGATTTTTCAATTAATCGATGTTTTGATTTTCCCATTTCTTGACCTTGGAGTGTTTCGATTTTCTCGTTCTTCAATTCTTTAATTTTTTTATTTTTCTGGTTTTTGATTTTTCAATTTTTGATTTTTTAAGGTTACTATTTTTCGACTTCACTTTTTTGATTTTTCGATTTTTCAGTTTTTAGATATTTCAGTTTTAGGATTTTTCAATATTTCAATTCTTCGGCTTTTCTATTTTTGACTTCTGGATTTTTCGATGTGTCTACCTTTTTACTTTTTCGATTTTTCAATTTTTGGATTTTTAAATTTTAGATTTTTCAATCTTTTGATATTTTAATTTTTCAATATTTCTTAATCTTTCGATTTTTCGACTTCCTGGTTTTAGATATCCTGTTTTTCAATTTTTCGATTTGTTAATTTTTCATTCCCGATTTATCGAGATTTGATTGTTCAGGTTTTCGATTTATCAGTTTTTCAATTTTTTATTTTGGCCTATTTCGATGTATCACTTTTTCCAGTTTTCCGTTTTTTCGTTTTTTGATTTTTCCGCTTTTCCAATTTTTCAACTTTTAACTCTTTGTTTGTCGATTTCTCTATTTTTCGATTTTTCGACTTCATCACTTTTCGATTTCTCGTTCTTTTGATCTTTCAGTCTCTCAATTTTTCAATTTTTCGAATTTTTAAGTTTTTTGATTTCTCGACTTGTGGAGATTTGGATTTTTCGATATTTTGATTGTTAATTTCTCAATTTATAAATTGTTCAATTTTTAACTTTTCGACTCCACGATTTCTTGATCATTTGATTTTTCGATTTCTCGGTTTTTCGATTTTCCAGTTTTTCGATGTTTCGATTTTTCAATGTTTCAGTTTTACGATTTTTCAAGGTTTCGATTTTTCGATTATTAGATTTCTCAATTTTTCAATTTTTGACTTCTATAAACTCTTTATTTGTCGATTTTTCAATTAATTGATTTTTCAGGTTTTTTGGTTTTTCAATTTTTCTATTTTTTTAGGTTTCGATGTTTCAACTTCACTTTTTTGATTTTTCGATTTCTCAATTTTTCAATTTTTTAATTTCTCAGTTGTTGGACATTTCAGTTTTGGGATTTTTCAGTTTACTTATTATTCAATTTTTCGATCTTACGATTTTGCATGTTTTTGATTTTTCAATTTTTCGATTTTATTTAGGTTTCGATATTTCGACTTCACTTTTTTGATTTTTCGATTCTTTAGATTCTCAGTTTTTGGATATTGCAGTTTTGGGATTTTTCAGTTTTTTGATCGTCAGTTTTTCTTTCATTTTTCAGTTTTTCGATATTTCAGCTTTGGGATTTTACAATATTTCTGTTCTTCGACTTTTCCATTTCAGACTTCTGGATTTTTCGATGTGGCGACTTTTTTCTTTTTCGATTTTTAAATTTTAGATTTCTCAATTTTTTGGTATTTTAATTTTTCAATATTTAAAATTTTAGATTTTTCGATTTCTCGATTTTTCATTTCAGTTCTTCGATAATTGAATTTTTCAAGTTTTCGAATTTTTCAAATGTTTTGATTTCTTAATCTATCGATTTTTCGATTTCCCCGTTTTAGATTTTCTGCTTTTCAATTGTCGTTTTTTCAAATTTTCGATTTTTCAATTTTTTGATTTTACAATTAATCGATGTTTTGATTTTTCCATTTCTTGACCTTCGAGTGTTTCGATTTTCCTGTTCTTCAGTTCTTTAATTTTTTGATTTTTCATTTTTTTGATTTTTCAGTTTTTCGATTTTTTAAGGTTTCTATTTTTCGACTTCACTTTTTTGATTTTTCGATTTTTCAGTTTTTAGATATTTCAGTTTTAGGATTTTTCAATATTTCAATTCTTCGGCTTTTCTATTTTTGACTTCTGGATTTTTCGATGTGTCTACCTTTTTACTTTTTCAATTTTTCAATTTTTGGATTTCTAAATTTTAGATTTTTCAATTTTTTGATATTTTAATTTTTCAATATTTCTTAATCTTTCGATTTTTCGACTTCCTTGTTTTAGATATCCTGTTTTTCAATTTTTCGATTTGTTAATTTTTCCTTCCCGATTTATCGAGATTTGATTGTTCAGGTTTTCGATTTATCAGTTTTTCAATTTTTTATTTTTGCCTATTTCGATGTATCACTTTTTCCAGTTTTCCGTTTTTTCGTTTTTTGATTTTTCCGCTTTTCCAATTTTTCAACTTTTAACTCTTTGTTTGTCGATTTCTCTATTTTTCGATTTTTCGACTTCATCACTTTTCGATTTCTCGTTCTTTTGATCTTTCAGTCTCTCAATTTTTCAATTTTTCGAATTTTTAAGTTTTTTGATATCTCGATTTATCGAGATTTGGATTTTTCGATACTTTGTTTGTTAATTTCTCAATTTATAAATTGTTCAATTTTTAACTTTTCGACTCCACGATTTCTTGATCTTTTGATTTTTCGATTTCTCGGTTTTTCGATTTTCCAGTTTTTCGATGTTTCGATTTTTCAGTTATCCGATTTTTTAAATTTGGGAGTTTAGATTTCTCGATTTTTCGTTATTCGGTTATTAAATTTTAGATTTTTGAATTTTACAATTTTTCGATATTCAGTTCTTCGATATTTCGATTTTTCAATCTTTCAGTTTTACGATTTTTTAAGGTTTCGATTTTTCGATTATTAGATTTCTCTATTTTTCAATCTTTGACTTCTATAAACTCTTTATTTGTCGATTTTTCAATTTCTCAAATTTCACATTTATAAACTGTCAATTTTTCGATTTTTCAATTAATCAATGTTTTGATTTTCCCATTTCTTGACTTTCGAGGGTTTCGATATTCCTGTTCTTCAATTCTTTAATTTTTCGATTTTTCAGGTTTTTGATTTTTTATTTTTTTATTTTTTTTTTTAGGTTTCAATTTTTCGACCTAACTTTTTGGATTTTTCTTTTGCTCAATTTTTCGACTTTTTTGGTCTCATTTAGCAACCAGCAGACCAGTTTAGGTGACCTTGAGTGAATAGTTTCTTGTGTCATACCTATGTGATTTAAAATTTATTGGTAAACATTTGTGAATAATAAAGAGCGGCGGAAGAAAAGTACAAAGTCATCACTTTTTTTCAACTCGAATCAGTGAGTTTAGAACATAAACAGTAAAAAAAATTCTTGGAAAACAATTTAAATTCGACAAAAATAAAAAGACCTTTGAAACTGGTTCTGCCACTTCTACTCGCCCAACTTGTTTATTTAGCAGCTATTTCACTTCCAGGAACTTAAAGTACTAAAAAATATGTACTTTCACTTCAATTATATTATATTATGACATACAGTAGGTAGGTATTAATAAATTAATTGGAATTACGTACATAATAAAAATTCAATAATATATTTTGCGGTTCCTTGGTTCAGTTATAAATACAGGTGGAAAGAGCTGATAACAAATTAATAGAAAATTTTATACAAAGATACCGGGTGACTATTAATGATTTTTCTGTTGGCAGTTGCAAAATATCTGTAAGGGTTTTATAATAGGAATTCAATAAGATACCGGAAACGGAAGACATTAACACAGAAGAAGAAAAGGAGGGAAACTATGGAAAGGAAAATAGTAATTAAGGAAGAAACAAGGAATATATTTATTTACAATTTACAACAAAGAAATGCAGAATCTTAAGACGCAAACAGATAAATTAATAGACGAAAATAACAGAAATTGTATAATGACAAGAGGTTAACAATATAAGAAGATCGATTTTTCAATTTTTTATATCTTCAAT